TTCTGCACATCTCCTTCCCCTGAATTTACGGGAGCAGCCTAGGCAGCGCCCTATTCATTGTCCTCAGGCACGCTCGTCACATGCGACCTCGCATATGCCGAGCTCATCGCACACACCACAAGTGGCTTCACCACATTTGCCCTGGTTGTATAAAGAGGCAGATAGGCCAGTCTCACCCCAAGAGTATCAAACTCATGGTTCTTCGCTACATCAATCGCGATCACCACGCCGGAACCAATGACTAGCTACCATCACAGAACACGACCAGGAAGAGAAATACGCTCAGCTCATGCACACCCCTACAACACACACTCGTCCCACGGTATCAACACAAACCATAACTTCAGCACAACATGAAAACCACAACCCTAATACACCCATATTATTGCCTACTGTCACCTTAGAAATAGCAGATGTTCATGGTCAATTTCAAAGAGCACGAGCCCTATTGGATTGTGGCAGTATGGTAACATTAATTACTTAGCGTATGGCTCGAACTTTACAACTACCACTAAAGAATACTTCATTACAAATTTCGGGAGTGGGAAATCAGCACACACAGTACTCCAAGGCATCAATCAAAATTGTATGTCGACCCACTCATAGCGAAACACCTACGATAACGGCTACAGCTCATATTTTAAAGCATGTTACTGGTTATCTGCCTCTAGGGAAGGTACAGAATATATCACATATGGTAGACCAGTCAACGATCCCCTTAGCTGATCAAGGATACCATACACCAGCTCCAATTGATCTGTTGTTAGGCTCGGATATCCTCGGACAGGTTTTAGATGGGACTAAAGTCTCATTGGGGCCCGGCAGGCCAATAGCCTTCGGCACGATATTTGATTTTGCATTGTTAGGACCCATACACGATTTGTATACTGCTCCTGTAAGCAAAACTGAATCGGCTCACATTGTCAGCGCACAACCAGAACTCGAGGTATCTACACATGATATTCGTAAGAGCCTTGAGAAGTTCTGGGAATCTGAAGAGCCCCAACTTCATGTTGAAACTACCCCTTTGCAAGATCAGTGTGAAGAAATATTCCGCACTACCACTACTCGTAAACCCTCAGGTCAATATACGGTAACATTACCCTTTTTACATAATATGCCCGAGTTAGGAAGTACCCATGCCATAGCATTGCGTAGATTTCTTAATCTTGAAAAGAAGTTACAAGCTGACCCATATCTCCGTGTGAAATACATTGGCTTCATGGCAGATTATCAGAAGCTGGGTCACATGTCCCCATGCCACCCGAGTACTTTTGCTCATAAACCTCACTTCTATATCCCTCATCATGGCATCTTCAAGTCGGGATCAGACAAGCTACGCACTGTTTTTGATGGTAGCTGTAAAAGCTCAAATGGTGTCAACCTAAATGACTGTTTACACACTGGTCCAGCTCTTCAACAGGACATTGTCGATATTATCTTGTCGTTTAGAACTCATCCCGTAGTTTTCAGCACTGACATTTGTATGATGTTCAGAAACATACTCATACATCCCGATCAGAGGCGTTACCAGCTCATTCTCTGGCGCTCTTCGCCAGATCAGCCCCTGCGTACATATGCCTTAAACACTGTTACATACGGGTTAAGATCAAGCCCATATCATGCTATACGCACTTTAATCCAATTAGCGGATGATGAAGGTCATCGCTATCCTGCAGCTGCTCAAGTGCTGCGCAAGTCCATATTCGTCGATGATATTCTCACTGGTCACGATTCTGTAGTAAAGGCTCAAGCTCTCCAAAACGACTTGATTAACTTACTAGCCTTAGGTGGTTTTCAGCTCAGTAAATGGCCTCAAACTGTCAGCTTCTCATTAGAAAGATTTCCGATGTCAGTGGCATCCCAAGGACTTTGACATAGGGCTTCTCCTTTGGGAAAGATATTTTTTTTCCCGGGATTTGGGGATTGTTTCTTATGTGTGGGGGGGATCGATTTGGGCTCCGCAAGAATGATATCTCCCTTTTGTGTATAATACCCATTTAGGGGGGCGCCAAATAAAAACCTTCCCAACTTTTCCCCATTAAAAATAAGTATTTTTTTAGGGGGGCATTTTAACCAAGTGGGAATTTCCTTCCAAATTCCGTGGGGGATGATGTTAAAACTTCTTTAAAAACTTTCGTTATTTTCTTCTTGCCCCCTTCAATTAATAACATAATTTTAACCAAAAAAAATTGATTAACCGGGCTTCAATTTTCCTTCAAGGGCCAATACAGTGGTTCCCGTGCCTCTGTCTTTTTTGGGGGGGACTCCCTTTTAAAAAACGGGGGTTGGGGGGTTACTTCTCCTGTGTTATTCTTGTTCCCTGTGCGCGCAAAGGCTTTGGCCCCTTTTTTTATGCAAAGGGAAGGCTTTGTGGTAGCTTCTTTAAAAAGTTAGAATGTGTGGTTGGACTCCTCGGAAACAACCCCCCCGACCCCCCTCGCGTGTTTTGGGAGAGTTGGGGGGCAATGGGACCAGGGTGGGGGGAATGGTGATAACCGGGGGCACTCTCTCGCGCTCTCGCCGCCCCCCCAATTTTGTCCATGAAGACTTCTCCCTTTCCCCCGTTGTGGGCCTCCCCGCCTTATTTTTTTTTCTGATGCAATAAAAAAATTAAACAAGAACTCTCTTTAAGGTCCTAATATAAACTTTTTATCATCGCTTTCATAAAAAAAAAATATACAAGAGTGTGTGGCAGGGACCGGGCCTCAGAGGGGGGTGGCCAGTTTTGTTTGCCTGTTATTTTTTTTAATTCTCCATGAAAAACTCGGAATGTGCCCCCCTCATACAGGATTTGGTCAAAACTGGTATTTTAACCCTCCCTTCGGTTTAATTGGGCTTAAATCCCCAACGAGGGGTTTTTCGGCCCGAACGCTCCGTTTATAATATGAAATCGTTTCTTATCCCCTCCCAAATCCCCCCTCCAATTGGGAGTTATTTTTTTTTTCTTGCCTTGCAAGGGGGGGGGTCTCTTAAACCAACAAGTTGGGTATCTGGATACCGTGTTCTTCCTCCGGGGGACCTTCCAATTGTTGTTCCCTTTTTAAAAAATTTTTTTTACCCCTCGATAAAGCAACACATGTGCTGGTCAGACAGTACCATTGTCCTAGCATGGCTAAACACACCTCCTCATAGACTTCAGGTCTTTGAAGCTAACAGGGTTGCCAAGATAACATCCAATCCAATCACCTCCACATGGAAACATGTTCCTACAAACCTGAACCCTGCAGACTGTGCGAGCAGGGGAATGTCTGCCCAGTCACTATCAGCTCATGATCTTTGGTGGTGTCCTACCTGGCTGAAAGAGCCTCCTTCCACCTGGCCCAAAATGCCTCCTGCTCTAGGCCACCATGTATTACCAGGTCTGAAGCCCAAGAAAGTACCAGCTCATATAGCAGTTCCTGACCTCGACCTTGACTTGCTTACTCGATTCAGTTCTCTCGACAAGCTCGTTGGAGTGACAGCTTGCATAAAACGATTTATTTTCAATTGTAGACACAACTCAACTGATAGGCGCTCTGGTCCCTTGACAGTTGGAGAACGTAGAGATGCTCTGTTATTCTGGGTTCGCTCTGTTCAACACAATGAGTTTGCGGAAGATATTTACCGTCTTCAGGCAGGTAAGATTTGTACCGTTCGACTTCAGCGTCTTTCACCCTTGATGAAAGATGATCTCTTGAGAGTTGGTGGTCGCCTCACTCATGCGCCAATAAGATACGATGCTCAGCATCCTCTCGTTCTGCCCAGCTCTAGCCCACTAGTTGATCTCATCATAGACCACTATCACAGAATAAACTGTCATCCTGGGGCTGACACATTAC